TTAGCATATCATGACTGCATTTGAACCTTGTGCCACCAAGAAATATTAATTCCTTGTTCTTGTATTTCTTGATTCAATTTCAATCCTCCATCATTATCCAAATAGCATCATATCTTACAATCATATCAAAATTCAGTGCATTTGGATATACAAGAGCTTCCATAGGTGAAAGCCATCTTGGTAATTTAGTATACAGTTTTATCTTTAACTTTTCCCACACCGACATTAATGATTTCCTATTATAATGATTTAAGAAACAACCACTCTATTAGAACACTTTTGATTGTAGGCAGGATGATCTTAAGCAAGATGTTGAATACCTGAATGGTTATCTGGAGGCAGTGACGGCAAACAAGCTGAGATCTGTTCCAGACAAGAAGGATGTACTGTGGGATTGAACCTGGATAAAGGATTGGATCTCAGCTGGAACTGGATACGATTGCATTCCCTTGGTGGGTGTTGGGACTCTGCCTTGTACTTAGCTTCTTTCTGAGCGGGGTACTTGTCTTTTGCCTCATCTGCCATCTCAATTGTTTTCTGAGCGTTCCATGGACTATTTCTGAAATTGTCCTAACACAGACTAGTTTGGCAGTGTCTGCAGTCACACTCAAAATGTTAACAAGGTGTATCTTAAAGGCAAAAATGCAATCTGGGTTTTTCCAGGGACAGATACAGTAAATAGGGACTTTTCTTAGTAAATTGCAGTAGTTGCAGAATGTAGAATCAAGCATAGCAAGGAAAATTGCAGGAATAGCTAAAAGTGCAGGAAAGGGATTTAAAATTCCTGAGGGAGTCATAAAAATGAACTAGTCTGTATCCTGCGTCCAAATACCATTAACAGGATGAGTTGACAGGCTACCCAAATGGCTAACTATAGAGCTATGGATGACCTCTCCTTCTGAACCCCAGGTAACCTCAAAGCAAGCACTTCCCAGCTGTTCTAAACAAGAGGCAGTTTCATTTCAGAAGAGACATTCCCACGGATGCATTCTGCAGAATAGCATGGTCTTTTCTAACACGTGAACTCCTTTCTTTATTAACATATTGTTGGGAAGTGAGTTTTAGTTACCTAAACAAAATTGAAATGTCTAGTATTCCTTTTTGGACCCTGTAAATGTGAATCTTGCTTCCTAGAAGTGTGACAGAGAATAGAAAATTATTTTTCTGAGGTCAAGAAGAAGCTCCTTCTGGGTGTGCTTCATTTGGTTTCCAGGATCTAGCTGAAGTTAAGACCTGAGTCCCTGCTAAGGTTTAAAAAGCTCGAATTGAGTTGTAATTCAGGCCTGCCGATGCTTACAAGACACCTTGAGCAGACTTTAACCAACAAGTCTATAGGAACTGTCAGTGGTAAGAGAGATTACTTCAGAACCATGATCGTTGAACTGAACTTTACTTTTTGATGTTTTGCTTTTTGAATTAAATTGTTGGACAAGATTAATTGCACACAGTGAGAACTTTAAATGAATAGCTGTGTTAAAGCATTAAACTTCTAAGTATGTCACATGGGAGGAAAAGCTAGGAGGTTTAATGAATTAATGTATTTAATGCATAAAATGCCTAAGCCAGTTTTTTCATTCCTTCACTCACCGTCTTTATTGAAGGAAAAATTCTCATGCTATCCTGTACGCTATTCATCCTTCAATGGTAGCTGCAGCAATTTCATATTCCCGTGTCTTGCTAATCTTCTGGTTCCACAGAAGTAAACAATAGATTTCATAAATTAAAAATACGCGCTTCAGAACATGCTTCTAAAGATAAAAAACAAGGCTGTAAACATTTATGACTGAAACAAACTAGATTGTTCAAATACTGCCATGATGTATCATGTATATCAATATGGCACTGATATCAGTTAGAATGCAAACAAGGTTTTAAATGATGTGCCCCTTCATCTCAGCTGGAGAATCTACTTTACGCCATCTGCCTATCAGATGGTTAGGAACCAGGACTGCGTATTAATGCCACATGTTCGATTTTTTCCTCCCTCTTGTAATGGTTAGATTCATATTGCTAATAGCTGTGCAGGAGCACTGTCGATGAAATTTGTGTGACGCTGGAGTGATGAGATATTTATAAAGTTGCCTGTCTCACTGAATAATCAGCAGGAAGAATGCCAGACATAAACAACTTATCAATTTCAGAATATTAATGATAACTACTGCCTGCAATTGCACTAGGCTGACTTTTTTTGACACATTTGTTTATATTTTTTGAAATAAACAACCGCAGAAAATTACAAACACTTTAAAAAACCCAATGTAGCTATTTGGTTTATTTTCAAATGGCTTTTCCAGATTGACTTTCCCATCTTAATAGCAAGTCGTGTTCACTTGCTACTGAGAGCACGTCAGGACAGCTTAGAAAATACACAATATGTAAGCACACTAAAAGTCAGGTGAAGACAGGTGATGATTACCTAGCGTCATGCTGGTTTGCCTCTGTGCTGGAAGCCTTCTGTTCCTAGATGGGGGCATCTTCCATTTTTGTGGCTGGTTATAGAGCCACTTCTCCGGAAAGGAGGAGTGTTGCGGCCTTTAAGAAGGCGCTTCCAGCCACAATCGTATTTCAGGAGAGTGGACTTTTAAGGGGACTTTGCAAATCCCAGATCTCAGATCTGGCTTTGCTACAGCAACATGGGGCTCCATGCAGTATTTTCTTCATGCTGTATGGACCTGTGGACCAATCAGTGTTATAACCTGCTTGGGGTACATGTTAATGCTACAGGCATCAACAAATTGTGGGTAGATTCGCTGGCAAATCCTGATCTTTTGCTGTGTGTGCACAAAACTGCAGATGGTTAGGGACAACAGAGCAATTCTGTCTGGTATAAGGCTTCACGGTTTGACAGGGCAGATGAAAGTGTCATCAGAGGTAAAGTGGTCTTCTGAATCCTCCTCAGCAGTCCTTAATGCCATTGAAAATACCAGCCGTCTGAGTGGGATGGTGCAACATGGTGTCCTGCAACAGCAGGGGGGTGGACTCGATGGCCCTCATGGCCCCTTCCAACTCTATTATTCCATGATTCTATGAAAACAGGAAATGGAGGCCCATGCACCTTTAATAATAAGCATAACATTCAGGAAGGGAGAGATCTGCAGAGACACCAAACATCCTTTAGATCCATTTTAGGTCAAGGAGAGACAGGCTAAAGACTATGACTGCCTTCCCGCTAAGGGCTGCATAGTAGCCAACAGGCATGAGAAGAGATGCCGCACCATCTGATTATACCTTAAATTGTACAGTTATCTTGAGGAAAAAATGAGCCTGTTAATACAGCGGCAATAAATTCCTCCTCAGAAAAGAGGAAATTCCAGTGATCAAAAAGCTCTGCTGGTTTAGGACCAGGTTTAAGGGTATCCCATGTTGACTTAAGCACCATCTAGTCAGGGAAGTAGGCTTCTGCCTTAACAGGCTTGCCCTGTGGTCCATGCATTTCCTTATAAAACCTTGTTGTACTGAAGAGAAATCCTCTTGTGAGTTGACTCAACGTCTGCTTGTTGTTTACAGCAGTAGCTTGCAGCATGCATTAAACAGTTGGTAGGGGCCCTGACTTGGCACCTTTCACTATCCCAAGGCCAGCTCAACATTTGTCCTCTAAAGTCTATTTGCTGGACCTTGAAGAACGATTCCATTTTAGGAACAAGGAATGCTTTATCTGACTGCTATAAACAATTAAACAGGCAGCTAGCTGCTGGTACCTCCTTCTCACTTCTAAGTGTCTTGTTTGCGTCTGCCATAGAAAACCATCAGTGGCAGCTCTTTTCCTTCTCTGAATGGTAGCAATGTGTTCTTGAGGACCAACTCAACTTTTCTCAATATGCCAACTTGGGCTCTTGAACTAGGCCATTACATTTATAATGCTGAAGTTGTCTGTGCATGTGTGTGTTCATGACACCCAGTTACTAGCTGGGCTTTCAAGGTCCATTATTGGACTGTGTATGCACAGCAGGGCTTCTCCTTGAAAGCAAAGAAAAGCATTAAAAATTGGAGAACACCCGAGTGGGATTGGGGTGGCCTGAAAGATGTAGTTGGAGAGGAAAGCTGACTTGCTTTTCTCAGTAGCAGAATGCTCTTTGGATCCTAGTGACAATCTGTTTTTATGCACTTGCTTAACCACAGGTATTAAGACCTGGCTCAAAGAAGACTGTTTTATATTTGTCACTGCAGTAATTTTTATCCTAATATTGGTAGAAATCTAGGAAATCCCAGAAAAGAGGCACCAACAGCAAAAGCTCACCAATTTAGAGATTTGGAAGTCTCAAAAAATGTATTTTTGCCTCTCCTTAATTGTTGAGATGAAGCTTAAAATAGCCTCTGAGACGGGCACAGCTCAGGCAATGACTTGTATCATGTAAAGTCTGTGTTAAACCCTTTCCAAATTGCTTAGTTTAGCACAGATCTGTGCTGTCTTAAGGCACTGAAGCCATGCTTGCATCCATCAGTGGATGTGTAAATACAGATGGATCCAGGCTTACTCTGGTCATGACCCAGTGGCTAAGGTTGGTTCCCATTGAATGGGCAAAGCTTCTGTTCATTTTGCTGTGCCGGTGGGACCTACCACTGGTGCAGTGTGGAGTTAATGCTGTCTAAAGCAAGCTGAGAAACAAGTGGAAATGCTTGTTTCTAGACTGGCAGAAAGCAGAGCTGCTTTCTGAGAGCTTTGTTGAGTTGTCTTATTCTGGAAATTGGTGTTTCGACTCATTTCTTGTTGATTCAACGACTGCTGGTTCCCTCTTGCCAGGTGTGTGGGTATCATAGGATTCTGTCCAATGAAGGCACCAGCACAAGCTGACTCCTTTGCTAATAGTACATGGCAGAAGCACCTTCCCTAGCTTACAAGTTAATCATAGACATTTTGATGTCATTTTGTTAAGTTAATTTTTAAAACTTCAGTTTCTTGAGAAATTCTTGATTGCAGGTGATGCAGGCAAAGGCTCAGTTCAAAGAGAAAGTTGATGGAAGTTGTAATTTCATGAGTTCTATTTCTGTCTCTTTTGTAGGTCTGACAGCTGCAGCCGCAGCCGCAGCAGCTGCCACCAATGCAGCCATTGCAGAAGCAATGAAGGTGAAAAAAATTAAATTAGAAGCTATGTCGAATTATCATGCCAGTAATAATCAGCATGGAGCCGAATCTGAGAACGGGGATCTGAATTCTAGTGTGGGTAAGTTTGTGATCTAAAAGAATTCTCCATTCCATAAATGATACTGTAATTAATAACAGTACTGATGTTGCAGTTTGGTGGAGGGGAAGTTTCTGTTTTATTTCACTTATTTTGTCTTTGTTTTCCTTTGAACCTGATTTTACAAGAATTGCATACTGTAGCATTTTGGCTGCAGTTGTAAACCGATTCGCTTTGCAGGTGGTTCCTTGCAGACTTGCATTAATATGCTCTTAAAAGAATAACATTTCAATGCTCACTGTTCAATAAAGTACTCAAATCAAATTTTACTTTGTACTACTGAATGTATTCACTTTAAATTCATGGCCCAGTCCCAGCCTGAGCTAAGCAAAAAAGTATTTGGATCCAAGTAATTTTTGTGTCATTGAGTTTAACGGGACCAATTAAGTGCAGAAATCAGTCTGGGCAGGCTGGTGGGCAGGAGACAAAATATTTCATTCTTGCTTGTCCAGTGCAGAAAGGAATAAAGAACACGTGTAGCAAAGTTTGGAGATATTGTGAGCTTTGCTTTAATGGGTTCATTTCTAAATGGTAATTCAGCCTCCGCCCTTCTGTGTTAAACATTTGGAACTGTTAACAGCACTTTCTGTCTCATAAGATACAGGATTAACATGATGTATTTACTCATGTAGCCAATTTGTTTTGCTAAAATATATTTAAAATGACAGTAGCTTTTAAGGTCATTCCATTGTAATGGTTCCCTTCTGCTTTCTGAGATAAATGTACTATGTGAACTGAGAGTTGAGTTTTAGTACTGTTAACTATTGTACATGGCGGAGGTCACTTAGACATAAAGCAGACATGACAATTTAATATATTCCTCTCTTTTTTATTCTGCAAATTTTTGAGGTTATTCTTAAGGATGACAACTTTTTTCCTTCTGAATCTTCCTGTACATATTTATTATTTAACTCATACCCAAGAACAAAAGGAATGAATGTGCATGTATCAGCAAATTCTGAGGCCAGTTCTCCCTTTCCTTTTCTGTTAATGTTTCAGCACTAAAAAGAAAAACGCTACAGGTACTCTTAGGGAGACAATGGCAAATAGATACGGCCACATCAGTTTGAAAGTCATCCGCAAAGGTGCTTTCAAAGTGGGGGCTTTGTAGCAAGAATAGCTTTCTCAGCTGAATAACATGAGCAGGTGTGTTCTGGCACAATCCCATCCATATTGTTAATAAAAGGCTAAAATAGGCCCATATATGCTTCAACAATCAAGGATAGAATAAAAATTTTACCTTGTAATGGGGTTAAATTAAGATGCTTGATTAAATGTGGCATTTTTCAAAAGTAGGACTTACTTGCTTCTTAAAGCTGTTTTGATTGTATTTGAACATAATCAAGACAATATTAAGGATTTCCTACTAGCAATAAGCAGCTTTTGTATGTTAATAATCATATTTACCTTGGTTAAAGATAATTATTCAACTTTTTTAATGGGTGAGTGTGGTGATATTTATATATGTTAAAAAGGAAAACAAACATGTCTGGATTTCTTAATTTCCTTACTTTCCTCTCATTTTCTTAATTAGTTTTCCCATTCAGTTTTGGTGGCAAGCTCACCACCGCCACGTTATTTTATCACAGTTCTCCAGCTGCCTTTCTACCCAAGCCTCCTTGTCACTCCCTTCTTCAGTGGACTGAATATTCAGTCCTACGAGTTGCAAACAACATTCTGGAAGACCAGCACCTAATCTGTATATCCTTCCTTTGACCCCAGTAGTAACAAGGATTGGATCTGGGTGGGGCAGTCAAGTTGGCTGGTAATGAACACCAGGAGCTTTTCTAAAATAAATTTATGTGGAAACAAAAAAAATGTAAACAAAATTCAACCTGATAAAACCATTAAATGTTTAAAGAAGTATAACACCAAATAACTCTGTTTTACATCCAAGCTCAGGATCATGGTTACGAGTGCCTACACAAGCCAAGATCATACTGCCTGATTCTGCCTTACCGTGGAAGCTAAGCAGGATTAGGCCTGGTTGATATCTGGATGTTGTGAACTTTCCAGAGAGCTTTGACTATGGACAGTATTGAAATGCAATTAATAATTATAATCAGAAACCATCTTCAGACCAAAATTTGCTGGTCTGGCATATAACTCTTAGCTTGTCTGGGCACAATTAGCCATAATCCCAGATTCAAATGTCATCTAGAACTATTCCTTGCAAAGAAGGAATAGCAATGAAGCTTTAAAATGTTTTTGTTTTTCTTAAACTGCAAACTGACAAAAAGCTAGTTACAATGCAAGTTATCCTTGGGGTGCTTTTAGAGTTTCTGTTAATATAAACTTAGCTCTTAAATGGATAATTAATTGTTTCTATATCCCTTCTCATTCTTCAGACTTCTCAAACCCCAGTTGCTGTACATGCTTAATTCATATCATCACTCTTTTTAGACTGCCAAGAGCAGTGCTTGGAACTTTTGGGATAAGGACAATTCTGTCACGGTGATACAGATGTCCGCACTCTGTCTGTAGCCCTAAGAATAAAAACTAATAATAGAAATAGATCAGTCAGTACTTGACAATGGACTCTAACTACCCATTGTCATAATGCACAATAAGAGCTGCAGAAGAGCCATTATTCTTGGTGGTGACAATGACACCTACATTTACTTTTTTCTTGGTGAATGCAAGACTTGGAAGCAGAGTTTAGAGTAAGTTGTAGAAATTTAGTTGCTAAGCTGAGTCCTTTTCACAATTTGAGCTTAATATTCAAGTCAAAGGTTTGTTCACCTTATCGGGGTATGGGAATCTTGTTAGCAAGGCAGCTACTGTTGGCTTTTATCTTTTTGTCTTTACTTCATTTAGATTATGAGGAAGGAAATGAACATCTGGGTTTTACTTATCATAAGTGCCAGTTCTGTTCGCCCCTTCTTTTCCACTGTTCCCATCTCATCCTATGTAATGTTTACAAATCTTCTTCAACTCCTTCCCTTCCCTAACTTCCCCTCTGGCAAATGTATAAGAATTAGGTAACTCAGAATAATGATCACGAGTCCTGGTTGTTAAGGCTTTAAAATATTCTGGTGAAATTAATGAGGCTTATTCCTCGTACTGCAATGATATTTATTCAGTGTGGGGTGCATACTTGAACATACTGTATGAAAAAGCAGTAAACAATATAAAGCAGGAGAGGAAATGTCCATGTTTGTCAGAATTCTAGAATCAGATTGTCAGGATAGACAGTTTAGCTTTATATAACCGTAAAATATTATTAACTTCTAAAGTAAAGCTGTTGTCATGTACTCACATGTCTGGGAGTGTTTTTGATTTTGATTTTACTGTGACTGGAGAAGCGCTGGAGTACCTTGAAAGCTTATTGGAACATCCTTTGGGAGAAGGTTAGTCATCACTGGCAAGTTCTTCTATAATGTGATTAGCTCGCCATGACCAAGCTAACTCTGCAGTGTGCAAACCCAGTGGGGTACCTGGTATGTCTAGGACATTTGAGGCCCCAAAGGCCGTGTGCAGAGCACCTCATGAACTTGGTTGCATCCATGAAGATGCCGGATCTCTAAAACCATGACGGTACTGAAAGTGTTGCCTGAAGACAGGAAGTTGCAATTTGGCTTTGCTCAGTAATCACATGGAATACCTTTAAATAGGAAACATTGTTGTGAAGGTTTAGACCCACCATGTTCCCCATACTAGGAGGACTGTATGGTGATACCATATGGTGATTGGAAGCGATAGGTTCCAAATTGCTACTTCTGGCCTCACAAAAGAGAGGCTAGGGTGAATGAGCACATCTGGCAAAGGTCTAGGAGTCCTCATACCCCTCAAATCTGTCTTTCAGTGTGAGGTCCAAAGATAGCCACTGTCACTGTAGTTATGAACACATCATTGAACTTGACTTCTTTTTGAGATGTCAGCAAGTCAACTGTCAATTGCTTGGTGCCCATCAAAGGGAAAGGATAAATAGTACCATTTTTACCTATAGCCGGAGGAACAAGGGCTACTGTGAACTGCTTCTTGTGCTCTCCCTCCGCTGCCGAGATCTGAATGGTGACATTCTCAGATGGTTTTCCCTGCTGTATTTCTGTCCTGTGTGTACGTCATCAGGCTGTAAACCTAAAGTCTCTGGATTTTATCTTAGCCACAGCTCTATCACTGTAGGTGCCCTGAAAAACAGCAGCATCAGAAAAGCTATAAAGGAGGCGAATGGCATTAATAACCAACACTATTACTTCCCTAATTTTATGTTGTGCCTTAACATTGCAACTTCCTATCTGTTAGCAAGTTGGAAGTCCGCAAGAAGGGCTTAGAATGAAACATTAGTGAAATGTATGGCCATACTATTTTTTCCTGCTCCTTTCCACAATCAGTTGGATTCTTTTAGTTTAATATTTACTTGCCAAGATGAGATGCTAGTCTGCGTGGTGATAAACAGCATAGTACTGGCATCTGAAGGTGACCTGTCAGTTCATATGGACAAATCTCCTGCTTACTGAAATGTACAAAATAAATCATTAAAGCAGGCAGGTGCTCATTCCCAGTTTTAAATCACCATAGATTTATGATTTGAATTAATGCTTCATTTGGTCATAGAAATAGATGCTGAGACAAATGATATGCAGTGCTTGTAGCTTCCATACTGTAGCCATCCTAATATTGATTACTTAGATGTCTTTGCAATCTCTTGTTTATATCAAGCGCTGTCTTGTGACAGGTTGGCTGATACCAGCTATGCTGCAGATAAGAAGGAAAAATGCCCTGGATTTTTTTTAGTGGCAACTTCTCACACGGCATGGAGTAGAGATAAATTATTTTAGCTTTGTTGTTTAAAGTAAAAGCTATGTAGGCTGGTCTTTAGAACGATACTGTTCTTAAGGGTATGATATTAAAATGGAGAAGAACAAGGTCTCATTTACATTTCTTTATGGTATTTGATTTCTGTAATCATCTCTTTCATGATGGCCTGACTTCGGTAATTGTGTATCTCAGTTTAAAATAAGGTGGCTGGGATCCAAAGG